AAATAGCTTTAAAAAAAACAACCAAACAAAACCCCAACAAACCTACTGTGCATTTACAAATATTTACCTTGGCCTTTAGTTAAAACAAACAAACAAAACCCTCCTACATGTAACTTGGAGCTTTTTTCCCCCCCTCAACACTGCAGTGATCTATTCATTTATAGATTTAAAAGTATTTCAACTAACAAATTATGTTATAAATCAAATTATAATTTCCCTTTCACTTTCTGTAATTTTTCAATATTTTTGTTCATTTGCCACAACCACTTCCCAATGAGGCCCATCAGAGATGTCCCATATTCCAGGACAACTTAGTGCCCTGGATATTGTATGATAGCCACCTTGAAAATGGCATCCAGCTCTTAGATGTGCTCTCTGTTTCACTCCAACATCTAGAGAACAATTTTTGAAGAAGCTCATCAGAAAATTATTAGGTTGTGAGAATGCAATTCATGTGGGTTTTTTACAACTCTCAAAGCTGAATGACAAGTGTAACAATTTGATGACCAAAATGCAACTATATTTTCAGCAGCAGCAGCATGGTTTTAGTAGCTGTTAACCTAAAAACCTAGAAGTTATATGAAGATGAAGAGATGTTAAATGGTCCAACTGTAACATACTGCAGAGACACCTGGCCTTGCAGGTGCACATTGCTCAATCTTTTCTAAATTTATACTTTAAAGAAACACTGTCTAGAAGGATAAATTCTATCACACTGAGCTCTGAGTCACTGAGGCAAGGCTTGTTCTCTTACCCAGACTTGTTCCCCTAAACTTCTATTCTGTACTGCTACCGATTATGATTTCAGCAAAGGATATGATACAGGATCAAAGAATAAGAAGATTAAATAAATACATTAAGCTTTCTCTGATCAGTTATATGCTTATTAAACTGGTAATTCTGATAATTTCATATTCCATTGTATTTCTTTCAACCAGTATGTCTGCTATACCAGCAAACTTAGTAAATGGAAAGTTAGAGATTCACACTACATGTCTCTTTTTCTTGAAAAGGTGTATCCATGGCAATAAATGCAGCTTATGTTCAGTAAAATAAATTCAGAGAGTCAGAACACACGTAACCTGAACAAAAAAGCAATTTTACTATGCTTGCTTTTCCTGTCTGAAAGCCTCTCAAAACAGAGAACCAGTGCCATAAGAAATGAGCCCTAAGTATATAAAAGCTCTCTAAAAGAACCCCAAACCATACTTTTGGGTTGTGGGTGAAAGAAAAGGAAACAAAGCAAATTGTAAAGTGTAACTAGGTACTGTACATTTTTAAAGCAACAGGGCAGGGAGAGATGTTGAATCAGTTTGCTGTCTCAATGAGCTGCTTTAAAATAAAGAAAAAATAATACTCTCAGCAAGCAAATGCAACAATGCAGAGATTAACATTGCTATTTTCAAAGCAGTAACATTTAACTCAGATGATATGCCAGCATTTTGTTTTCTTCTCAGATGCTTCACAATTATACTCTAGTACTGGTTACGCATTCTAATGGGATGTGTTCTAACAGAATCTGCTTTGTTCATGACAGAAGCATAAAGGCCTCCACATAAGAAAATACATTCTTAGCTATCCAATTAATTTCTGTTTATCTCACAATAGTAGATTTTTATGCCAAAAGGTCATTAGATTTTAGGTAGGTACCGGTCAGATGAGTTGTACATTCAGTAGGCTCTATAGTTAAGAATAAGGCCATCACTGTGGCACGTTTTAAGTTTAGCAACACTTCGAAAATGTGACATGAAACACTGTCAAAGGCAACAGGGAAATATGGTGCAGGACAGTGTGGTCCAACTGGCAAACCCTTGCAGTGGCCTCCATCCCTTTTTCCACAGGAAGGGACAGGACAACTTGCCAAGCAGACTGAGCAATAGTACAAATACCTCCTCGTATCTCTGCTCAGATGACTGTGCTGCTGCTCTGGACAGCAACTGGAGATCCAGCCCTAAGCAGCAGCCACCACTCACAGCGCTTCTCAGAGCAACACAAGTGCCTTTCTTTTCTGCAACAAGCACTTGAAACATTTGAGTGTCTGCCTGCCTGCAATGAGAGGCTGTGCTTAGAGGGGATACGATGTTACCTGTGAGAGGGACAAGGGAAGCCCTAATTTAAAATGGGGGTTACCATGATTTAGATTAAACTTTTGTAAGATAACTTTTGTCTTCTATCTAGTTATGCAGGTATCGATGGCTCACTGAAACACCAGTGAGGCATATGAAATGACTTTCACTGGAGTCTGTTTTGCGTCCAGTATTACTCAGTATTTTCATGGATGGCTTGAAGGGCTGGATAATGAGTACAAACAGTATTGTGTCTGAAGAGGCTGAAAGCAGACTGAAGGGCAGCATTTAAATTGAAAATTATCTGAGCAAAATGATCAGAGACAACTGTGAATGAAGAATAACAAACAACATAAACTCACATATAAAAACCAGGAACACCTAGCTACAAAAAAAAAAAAAAAAGAAAAAGAACAGAAGGAGACGACCTGGCTGCTGTATTATTCTAGAAGATAAGCATCTCATAGCCACTAGGGCCCCAGCGTGGTCACAGATAAGAGACCAGATGCATTCTCCCACTTAGGTGTTTGTGTTAACTGACATATGACCCATAGGTTGATAGAAAAACATGAAATATTCAGAGAAGTCACACTTTAACACTTACTGGGGGAAGAAGAATTTGCCCCTTTCTAAAGAGATTAATCAGGCAGTACAGATGTCAGACAGTCCAAACACATGGGCCTTCCAAGCAAATAAAACAAAGCTTATTTCAACTCAGAGGAATTGAAAAATCTATCCACTGAATAATGTAAATAAAAAGAAAAAAAACACACACACATACACAGATACAAAGATCAAAGCTATGCAACCCCCCAAAAACATTAAAAAAGAACTTGGCTGTAAAAAACCAGAAAGACCAGCAAGAGGTGGAATAAAGGAAGAGAGAAACCTTTCTGATTACATCTGAAGAAACAGTTTTTCTAAGTTCTAGACCATTATGACTTGAAGTTAAATGTTTTTTCCATCACAGCCTCTGGACTTCAGAATGGCAAATGTTATTCATGGTGATAAACTGATCTCTCAGTTTTTAGAATTCCATCATTCTAGGTGTGTCTTCTTAATCAGTGTATTTATTGAAATGTCAAGTCATCTAAACAGGTTAATTGTCAGTAATCAGATATTCATCTTATTCAGCCATGTGATCTCAGCTCTCTAATTTGTGCACTTAAGTACTGTAGCTGTGCCTCCAAATAAGTTACTTAAATTTCTCTGTGTCATTCCCCCGATTCCTAAGTAGAGACTTAAAGGAATATAGCCTGTGTTTGTAGATAACTGTACAATTACACATTTTAGTGCAACTCCTGTTGCTGTGCAGCATTCTAGTCACAAAACATTGGTTAAAGGAATTTATTTTATGCTTGAGGACCAGAACATCTTCATATTATGTATATTCACACCTACACAGAGGGTTCCTCCAACATTCTGTACCTTTAAAAAGGAAGGCACCTCCAACCAAAGCTGCCAACCAACACCAAAACTGTGTGTAAACAAGGACTTGTTATCGAATTCAAGAAAAAATTTACTCAATTAAGAGAAGTGAGCAAACCATGATCCATTCTTGAGCAGAACTCTTGGTAAACTGATTGCTGTATGACAAAGCCCTTCAGTGGGATTTGTCTTCCTGGTTCAGTGAGGTGAGTTAGAATATTCTACTTTGACAAAGTTTGACTTCTTCTGTGCATAAGTAAGATCATGAGTTTACCAGTTGTGATGTGCCATTCAACACCTTTTAAAGAAAAGCTACATATACTTAAGCCAGTCCTAGGGAGACCTGCCTTCCACTAAAATTTTTTGTGGCATGAACAAACTAATGAATGTATTTATCATTTCAGCTTACTAACACCTTCTAGAATCATGTTTTACATAGATTATGAACTTGACTTAAATCAGTCTGTTGGACTATTTAAATAAACCACACCCCACCTTTCTGTATTTTAAACAGAATGTGTTGTTTCCATTTTGTGTCTACTCTTAACATCAGCTGTTTTCTGTAACAGACTGTGATTTCATGAAGATGATTATAAAGGATTAATCAGCCTACTAAAAATATGTACGACTGCTCTAAAGTTGTGTGAGGTTTATTAAGCATTTCTCAAATCTGTCTTCATTAGTACACAGTGTTTACGTACAAAATGCTTCAATAATTTTATACTTAAAAGATGTTTGTATTGAAGTATGCATACATAGTTAAGGAAGACAAAACATCATGATTATTACAAAGCAATTACTTGTGTATTAGGTTTTTTTGTGGTTTTTTGGGTTATTTTTTCATCACCAACACATTTTTCAAGGATTCCTCACCAAATATTTATGCATTTATTAGTGAGAAAATGACTGCTTATTTAATTAACAGCTTTTACTACGCTAATATCAATGACAATGCACTATTAAAGAGTTCCTATAAATACTTCAAAGAATAATTTACACTGGAACAGACCTCTAAAGGGTCAGTTAATCCAACTAGCCCCCACTCAAAGCAAGTCCAATGAGATCAAATTCCCATGACATGATCCAGTCAAGATCTGAATACCTCCAAGGACAGAGACTCCACATCTCTTCTAGGCAACCACCCATTCCAATGTTTCACCATTTAAATAGTGAAAAACATTTTCTTTGTATGTAATCAGTGTTTTTGATGATATAACTTGCCTCTATTCTCTCTTGCCTTGTCACTTAGTATCTCTGAGAAAAGGCTGGCTCCATCTCCTCTACATGATTCCTCATCCACATATTCAAAGACAGCAATATGATCTCCTTCAGCCATCTCTTCTTACGACAGAGTGAATTCAGTTCTCTCAGCCTCTCTGCATTTATTGTGCTCCATAATCATCTTATTAGGTCTTCATGAGACTTGATCCAGTATGGCAACATCTTTCTTATACTTGGGAGCTCAAAATAGGAGTCATACCCATAACACTCAAAGTTAAAACTTACCTTGACAGGGAGCATGTGCTTTGTGTCATACAAAGAACGGCAGATTTTCAAAATTTCATTTCCTGTCTTCTCTTTTTCCTCAGGTGGGCATCTCTGCAGCATAAGAGTCCCCAGTTTCACCCAGGGATTATCATCTGTGCACGATCTACCCAGAAAAAAAACAGAGATGTAGATAGAATATGAATATACATGCACACCTCCACCTGTGCATGTATAGGCATACACCTTTCTGTAGGTGCCCTTTTTCCTTTTTTTTGTGAAGTACAACCTCATGAAAGAGACAGGAAAAAAGTTTTGAGACAAGCCACTAGCCTGATGTCATCATTCTTTCAATGCAACAAAGCTTAAAGTATTTTGAATTACGACACGCTGTTACAATCCCTGAGGAATCACGCACCAGATAAAGACGGATCAAATTGGAACAGTACAGAAACAGCTTCTCCTGGCTTTATACCAGCTAATTTCCCAAGCAGAATGGGATCAAGGGAGGGGTGACAGGAATCCATCATTCCTAATTTTGTTTGCTTTGATCACATTCTAACAGCAGCTGTCTCTCAAGTATCTGTTTCTTGCTTCTGAGTGAAGAAAATATTTCCAAGATTCACATTTTAATTTTCAGGTCCAACAACTACAAACAAAAATTAACTTTGTTCATAGCCCATCCAAACAGGGTAGGAGAGTGAAAGTACATGCATCTGTATTTTGTTAGTAGATAGGGGTGCAGATACATTTGTTTTACATATTTAAAATGTTCTTTTCATTCCACACAGAACTTCATGTCATGTCACCATTACACAGTCAGACTTAAACAGGCAGCAGACAGTAGATACAAGTAAGTTTTATCAGGCACGATGAGAACATTTCTTGGCCTACAGACGAGATGCTTGGCTACTTTTGTTAGGGATAGGTGTACTTGCTAGGACTGGTTGTACTGACAGAAGTCGGTAGTACAGCAGAGCTTTTAAATGATAGCATGAAGTGTAACACTGGAACACAACCACACTGCCATTTTCCTAATGTGAATAAAGTGAATGCATTTCAATTCTCATCTACAGTGGGCTAAAATATGCACAGTCACAGGTTAGATCATGATTATATTGAGGCACAGTAACACACCACTATGTTAATCTCTGCATAAACTTAGGGAGGCACAAATGGTGGTTTAAAAATCACCCCATCAATCTCTTTGGTCATTAATCAGCATCCCAAAGATACATGAAACTTTTCATTTTAGCTTGAAGGAAAAAAAGAAAAACAAAAATCACAGCAAGACCAATTCTGGCAGGTTGGTCTTACAATTCAGTGTAAATTAAGATACTCAACCAGCACATGTGGGAAGGAGCAGTAAAAGTACTGTCAAAGTGCTGCTTTTCAAAGATATTATTTAGCAGTAATTGTTGAAAGTAACACACTAATATCACTGTGACAAATACCAAGGAATATGTCTGACAACTCTGGAGAGGATGACCACCAATATCTACTATTTCATACATGAAAGTTCTCTCCTGCTCATCTTCCACTTTCAAAAGTACATACTGTAAACAAATAAAACCAGCTCCACATAAGTTTACATTATATCCTAACATGAAAACCAGACGGAGATGCTAGGAATGGGTAACTTTGAATGCAAACTAAATAGAAGTAATTATCTTTATTCCTTCCGACAACTTAATTGAGCCTTTCCATCAGTCACAGTCACTGAGCACAGAGCTGCCACAAGTCTGGCTGGGAACAGCAGAGCTCCTCCTCTCCTCTCCTGTGGGTCAAACCCAAAGATGCCAGTTGATTCAACAAGCACAACGTGATGCACTTCATCTGTGAACCCCCAGTAAGGTCAGGAGAGGAAAAAAAACCCTGCAACTCCATCTTTGCCACTGGTTAAATTGGTAGCTCCTGCTATGTGATCCATCTCTTGCTCAGAGGCACGGAGAGTCACAATGAATTTCCATTTTTATAGCTGCTGCCTTCAGAGTACGTTAAAGAAACCTATAAGATTTTCCCAAAAGTCACACTACAAAACACAGAAGTTAGAAATAACCAGAAAGATGAAAGACCAACAAGGCTTGCCGTGTGCAGGCTTATTTATTTAAGTATCAGTATATATTTTACATCTATAAAGCTTCTCTCAACACAAGTCCTTACAGTTATTTCAAACATTTGTGTGATCTATTAACAAATATCTGTTATCTGCTATCTCTAAATAAAACCAAGATTCAGTTACCAAAAATCTGACACCTACAGGTAGAATTCAGTTTTCTTTTCTCTTGAATTTTAACTTAGTTTAACTATGGTTAAAAAAAAAAAAAAAAAAAAAAAAAAAAAAAAAAGAGTTATTTCTCAACATTAAAAAGTCATTATTTTAAAAACTCAGCAAACATACTTTTTTTTTGCCCAGACCCAAAAGAGGGAAATTTTGGATTAAGTTAAAAAAATAAAAGTGAACTAAGCTATTGAGTTCCTAGAAGTTGGTCTTTTTGAGTTCCAAAACACAAAAAATGCCTTTTGAATGGAGACAGTAAGTTCCAAAGGACTGCAGAGATTCAGGCACTGTCAGTAATTTTATTTTTTTAAATCTCTATGAAATGCTTAAAATGACATCTGAATATGAGATACCCAGGCAGAAAACCATGTAGACATAACAAGGATATAAAAATAAAATTTTAAAAAGAATATGCGGATTTGAGTGCTGACTGAAACAGTCAAGCTACCTCTCTGCTTCCTCATAGCCAACATGAAGCATTATGAAATGAAGTAAATCACATTCGCAGGTGAATAATGAGCATTATTGTAGCTGTAGTGTTTTAAAATATAAGAACTCAAAAAAACCCATTAAAAATCCCAGACTTATCAGCACAGAGGTCACAAAAATTCTTTAAAAAAAAATAAAAGGCTATTAAAAAACCTCCAAACTTCAGTTCTTTTACTTCTCCTTCCTTTGGAACTTTTATAGAATGTAAATTGTATTTTCTAGCTTTACATTAATTTATAAGTATTAGATATTTACTGTTAGGGTGGAAATCAAAATTCTAAGTATTCAGATGACACAGACTTAAATTCCTCAGTCCCTGCACATAACATCACATTGGCAGTAAACAATCAGTTAGCAACAACAACTCTTTTCTGAAGCAGAGGAGGAAAAAATAAGTAAAGGTTAAACAAAAATGTTAATACGTATGGCTAAACAAACGGCTTAACTGCTCACAGTTTTCTTCTTTGTTTGCTAATTTCTTAATACAACTTCCTTTAAAATGAGATTGTTGAAAATCTCACAAAACATTTCCTGCTCCTAACTCCAGCCCAGCCATCAAGGTTGGTTTTGTAGAAAACCAATTTCAGGAACATAAATATACAAAAAAAACCCCCTAGGCTGGTAAGTATAAATGAATGCTGTTAACATGGAAATATGCAACAGGGGCAGAGAAGGGAAGAATGAGCAGTGCAAGAGGAGGAGAAGATCCCAGAGCAGAGCAGAGCATACTTGCAGCAACCTTCCCAAAGATGTGGAGATGGGCACATGTAGTTGACCACAACTCTTTGAGTGTGACCATCCAACCAGTTCCTTATTCCCAGCACATTATAACAAGAGGTAGTTGAAAAATAATCTAACTATCTACTTGACAAGAGTTTATGAAATTAATCCTATCTCATATCAGGGAATACAAAAGAGAGCTATGCCTGACTTTTTAAAACCAATCATATTTGACGTGGCGGGACTGATGGTGGTATGAGGACAGAACTTCTTTTCGGGAGTGCTATTAGCTGTTAAGACAGATGTTTTGAGTTCACTCAAATTCATCACAATGATAGCACACTGATTATAAAAGCCAAAATTCAGTTTGAGAATATTTCACCAAATACATTATTTCTGTAGACAAAAATAAGAAATACTCATTTTTTAGTTTTATATAAAACGTGCAATGACAAGGCTTAGATTTAAATATATGTTAAGTCCTTAGAGCAAGTACTTAATGTTTGTCTCTTAGAATAGTTAAAAAACAGAATAAAAAACAAACCACTCCCAAAAGAGCCCAGAACTCCAAAACATTATTGACTGAGTGACTACAACTAAGTTGAGGAAAACATAATATACAAGAACAACTCACAACTATGATCATGCTGTCTACTCTTAAAATACCACCTATGTTTTTTGGAAGCACTAGAAATGAGCTAGAAAGAACGATGTTCAAGCCACAATGAAAAAAATGCTGACACGGGATTTATAAAGTACTTAATCAGTCTTGCAAGTATTGTTAGTAACAGAAACAAAAGCGGTAATAAAGGGAAAGTAATGGGAATATAAATACAGAAAGACCTCAGGGAGTGAAAAATGCCCCTCTTTGATATATTTCTCTATCAAGGCAAGTCTTATTAGGGAAGGGAAAAACTGAACCATCATTGACTTAGTCATTAAATAAATAAATACTAAAAGAAAGCAGAAATGTTACATTCCTACTGAGAAAAGAAACAAAAAACAGGAGGGAAGGGGGCCGAAGAAGAACTACATCTCTGTCATTTCTTTCAAGATGCAGCCTCAATTCTAATCTCTCAAACACTGCTAAGGCAGGGAAGAGAACAGACTAGATGGTTTTTTCCCACCTTTCAAGCTAGCAGAGAAAATGAAGAATAAAACCATGGTGGCAACTATGCTCTGTACCCACCACCTTCTAGTAAAAAAAAAAAAAAAAAAAAAAAAGGGTTAAAAATGAAAACAAACAAGTAAATTCTTTCCTATATTGTGAAGACAATTGCTTTCTCCAGTAATTAAATTTATTTTCATTTTGCAGTTGTCCAGAGTTTTAGGTAAACTCAAGAAAATCTGGAATATTTGAACCACTCTTTACTTCCCTGAAGCTAATGACTATGAATTTAGCACTGAACCTTGGAACACTGGTCGGGAATATGCACTGTAGATCCCATTTGGGAATCCTAAGAGTCAGAGGTTCTCCATGACTGCAGTATAGGTGGCTATTACTAGTGAAAAAAAAAAAGGGTACAGTTTTCTCCTGAAGGCTTTCTAAAGCCTCCTGGCAAAGTCAAAGCAGTCAAGAGAGACACTGAGATTTTAGTAATAACAGAAATTATTAAATAAATTTTAAAAAATCAGTCTAATCACAGGATCAATTTTTTCCTCAGCACAAAGTCTCAAGATGTGGGCTGGTGAGCCTCACCTCAGTTCCTGGGAAGATGAAGCAAATCCTTACGGAAGCATTTCCAAGCAAACGAAGGACAATGAGCAGACTGAGAATAGTCACTATGACTTAAAAAGGGGAAATCATGCCTCACCAACCTGATACCCTTCTACGATGAAGTGAATGGCTTGGCAGATGACAGCTGCTATTATATACCTTGATTTCATTCAGCAATGATTCTGACACCGTCTCCCACAACGTTCTCACTGACAAACTGATGAAGTATGGGCTAGATAAGTGGACAGTAAGGCAGACTGAAAATTGCTTGAACTGCCAAGTTGAAATGGTTGCAATCAGGAGCACAAAGTCCAGTTGGAGACCAGTGACCAGGGGTGGACCTCAGGGGCCTATACTGAGGCCAACACTCTAACATCTTCATTGAGGACCAGGATAACCATCAGACAGAGTGCACTCTCAGGAAGTTTGCAGATGATACAAAACTGGGAGAGAGTGGCTGATACACCAGATGGTTGTGCTGCCATTCAGTGGCACCCTAAGAGGCTGGAGGAATGGATAGAGATTAACCACAAGAACCTCAGGAAAAAGAAATTCAAAGTCTATCCCCTACTTAGGAAGAAATAACCATCAGTTATGAGATGAGAGCAAATCAGCTGGAAAGAAGCCTGGACAACAAGGTGACCATGAGTTAGCCATGTACCCTTGCAGCAAAGAAGGGCAACAGCATCCTGGGCTGCATCAAGAAGAGAGTTGCCAGCAGGTTGAGGGAAGTGATCCTTCCTCTCTACGCAGCACTGGTGAGACATCTGGAGTGCTGAGTCCAGTTCTAGGCTCGTCAGTACAAAAGCGACATGGACACACTGAAGCGAGTCCAGGAAAGTGCCACAAAGATGCTGAAGAGACTGGAGTATCTGTCCCACAAGCAGAGGCTGAGAATGATGAAAGAGCTGGGACTGTTCAGTCTGGAAAAAAGAAGGCTTGGGAGAATTTTATCAATCATATCAATACCTGATGGAGACAGTAAAGAAGACGGAGCTCAAATCTTCTCAGTGATGCCCAATGATAGCACAAGAGACAATGGGCACAAATAGAAACAGAAAATTTTAATAAAACATAGGAGAAACCTTTTTGTTGTAGTTGCGGAGTCTCTGATCTTGGTGATATTCAAAATTCAACAACACAATAGCCTTGAGCAGCCTGCTCTGGCTGACCCTGCTTGGAGCAGGGGGTCTGCAGCAGACATTTCCAGAGATCCCTATTGATCTCAGCTATTGCTAAATACATGAAAATCACAGAATCACATATAAGGTTGTGAATTAATTTACCCTGTTCTCTTGCCTCTTATTTCAGCCAAATTGATTTATTTATGTCAAAATTGTGACTACGTAAAGGTCTAGGAGCTGCACCAACTACTTTAGACCCTAAATGAGTTATGATACAGGTGTATTTTGTAGAAATTTTCAGACTTCACCGATCTCAGAACTAAGAGGCATCCCACCTCTGAAATTTAATCCACTGTGACTACAAATCACATTTAATCATTATTTTGTTTCCTCTTCTTCACTTTAGGAAGTCAGCCTGAAGGAAGAGAATACCAAGTGGGAGATAAAACAAAATAATTTTTAATTTCTTCTGCTACAGAGCAGTAGACAAGAATTGTCTATGTACAAGAAGCATTCTCCTTTCGCAAAATCTTTAGTCTTTCTATTCAACTCAAGGAAAAATAATTTTGCTAATTGCAGCAGTATTTCACTTGAACCTTTGTTCTGTTAGCTTAATACTTTTTTTTTTTTTTAAATCTAAACACTACCTTAAAAAAATTCTGACACCTTCCAAAGTGTGAGGCATCCAATTTTCTATTACAGTTAAAACAAAACTAAAAAGGAAAGTTTGGATATGAATTTGTGACAGATCACACAGCAGTCCTTGTACTTCTAAATGCACTGAAGACAATTTTTGTCTCATAAAACTGTGATAAAGAATTTAAGTTAATGCTCATCCAGAAATTGCAAGCCAACGGCAAGCATGAAGGTGAATAACCCTTACAGATTACCTTCTAATGCACCAGTTCTCCACACATACACAAAAGAGATACTTTTCATAAAAAGATAAGCCTTAACTTTTCTGACAAATCAATGCACATAAACATTTTGGGGAATGTAGTCCCCAAGTTAAAAAAGGTTGTAATCAATACCCCAAAGTAATCCAACGTAGGCATCATTTAATGTCTCTAATCTAACTACTATCAGATAAGACAAGAGACATTGTACTCACTAGCCAAAACTATTAATGTTATTGTTCTCCTTGAAAGATATGTGACTTTTGCTTCATAACATAAGATTATATGAATCCTTGTATCTTAGAAGTTACCATCAGTTATAGAATAGAAGAGCTAAATTTTTTATCTTTAAATGTATTCAGAAAAATCACACAAACCCAAAAGAATTGGTAAAAAATAATGTAGTCGTATGATGTTCCAAATTAACACTTTCAATAAATACCCATTCTGATGGGTGCACAGATGCTGATGGGTCTACAAATGCTGAAGTTTTAAATAATTCTTTTCATTTTAATTTCTTAGGTTAGGATATGTCTTCCCTCATATACATTCTTTACTTTTGGATACTTTATTCAGAGACAGAAATAATAGGTAGCGGATCTAGAAAAGAGAAGCACCATTGCTTGGTACCATTACCCTCACAGACCTCCTGCAGACTGTCTGCCACAGCCATCTGAACATTGACTTTCAAAAGTTTTTCTGCAAAGTATAACTTTGAATGGAAAAAACAGTCAGAACTTTCTATTCCTTTTTATAGATTTTGTTCCTGCTGCCAAAAATAAGAGCAAAATACATAACTTTATATTTAACTAGATAGAAAACCCTCCTGTAAAACAGTTCAGTCAATAAAATTAAATTGTTTTCTGCCTCTTTCATGATATATCCTACATACTATATAGTTTTTACAAGAAACTGATTGATTCAATTCTGCTTTAAATAAACCATTTATTTTTCCCAGTATGACCCTTTCTAAAGGTCACACTCCTCTTAGCCATGTTTGAATTCATTGGCTGAAAACTACATGATATTATCAAGCAAGAAGACTCTGAACTCTTTTGTTACATGATTATTTGAAGAAATGCTCACCCATTGTTCGTGTCCATCGGTGGCCAAGCCTGCAGTAGTAAAACCAAGTGCTGAAAGTCAGACAGACTGTGACTAGACTCCAGAAGTCCCAGGAAGAGATCATACCTTTTTTCCTCATTTTCAATATCTGTTATCTCTACCTGAAAAAGAAAAAAAAACAAACAAAAAAGTTGTTGTTTTTTTTTTTTAAATCAATGATTAACAAACTGTCTGTGAAGGACACCACTGTTGTAAAACAACGCAGGAACACAGTGAACATAATTTTCCCAGAAATCAATTTTCTTACCTCTCATTTTCAATTACATGCAAATAAAACAGAAGACCACACAGATAATAGGGAATGACTTAGGTGTATGTTCCTAAAACAATGTAACTCCACACAAGTACATTCACTGATTAGTTCAGAGGATCTTATCTCTGTGTCTTTAGCCAACCACAAAATTCCTTAAATTTCTTTTTCTCTACATAAAGATATACACTCACATACATATACAAATATTTTTAAAGAATGGGTATGGCTAGTGCTTGCCTGATATATACTACTATCACTCACTTATGAAAACTCTATTGTTTTACCTGTATTTACAGCATCTAATATTTTCTCCCACAGGAAAGAGCCCTGAAAGATGATTCTAAATTAATTTACCCAGTGAAGGACATTTGCAGACAACTACTGTAATATTTCTCTGTACAGATGTTTGAACCTAAGAAAAACAAAACCCCACACCCTATCAGTCAGCCACCAGACAACTCTATCTCAGGAAAAGTGTCCATCTAAGTTTAAAACCTGCAGCTTCTGCCAGGACTTGAATTCAGATGATGACAGGTTCTTTTAGAGATAATTACTGCTTGTAGTTTGCATGGTAAAAAAATCCAAGGTAAAAGGTCTGACTGTTGAAGGAAGGTTGCTACAAATGAGAACCAACTTGCTACTAAATGAGAAGAAGCTTCTGTTTAAAAGTTTTGCTGTCACACTAGGAGGGCTTTCACAAATGGAATAGCTATTCGCTGCCTACCTGACATAAAAAGTTCTTGGAGTTTAAAAATAATTTGTTACAATAACAAGGTAGCTTCCTCTGCATTATTAACACATTCTAACACTGAATTTTTCTTCCAAGGTTTGAAAAGTTCCAGGATATCAAACACTTTAGTTTCAGCTTATAATTCCACTGAAGATACACAGCATTAACTGTTAACTTTTCTGTTTCAGCCCAAGTAGTTCTAAGACATCAAATACAGACAAAGTTTTCCTTAGTTCTATAGCTGCTCTAAAAGATTAAAGATCGCATTCCCATCTTTTCAAAGCAACTATGATACATCAAGGGCAATTTTTTTCAAAAGACATTGGAAAACAAAGCTTACTGATGCATTTATTGAGTTGCCCACATAATTTGTTACTTTAAAATATTTAGTGTTGAAAAACTGTTTGCTTCTGTCTCCAGGGTACATCTGAAAGCACCATATACTGAAACATTTTAGCTAGTGAAGAAATGTTTCTGAGATTTGTCCGTTTAAAATTCTTCTCTATACTGCAAATGTCACATAGCAGATATCAGTTACCCACTTGTAATATCCCTAAATTCCATCTATACTTGTTAATATAAAACATTATAATCTTCAATATTTAAATCACAAGGCTGGAAAGAGAAGGGAGAAGAACAGGAAAGGGTAAAAGGGACATAACCTCTAAAGATCAAAAATATTTAGCAACTTAGCAAATTATGTACTATCCAGGCAACAGAAGATCTCACAATGCTTCATCTGCCCCCAAACCCTTTTCAGACAACTAGCTCTTTAAATATTTAAACAAAGTAGTATTCTAGAGTACATTTTAGTATATTTGTACAAACAGCATGTTACTTCAAATGAAAGACTAAGTGTTCAGATCTCTCTTAATGATAACGGTAAAAATGGCAAGAAATGGCACAGATAATATTAACAGATGAGAAAAGCTGTGACAGAAATCAAACCATTAGTAGTAGAAAGCAGATGAGAGTAGATCAGACATCCTATTCAACATGAAGTGAATTCCAATAATTCTGACTAATAATGCATCTTTATAGACTCAAGGTTACATTTTTTTAAAAATGAGATTAACATTATAATGTTGTGCTTTGAATAGCTGGATCCTTGCAACATGATTGTTCATACTAAAAGACATATTAATACAATCAAAGTAAATAATAAGAATTAACTTTCCATTCTTAAACATAGTGTGCATTTCTGCAACATTTCTTTCGACAATGGCCTTTTTAAGTTGCCTACATTTCCTACTAAGAGTAATAAAGTGAACCTTCTACAGTGTTACTTATGTATAGTTTTTAAGAAAACTATTGAAAATTCACTTTTCATATAGCATTTCAAACGCATGTCTTTTCCATTTACTGTGAAACAGGTGAAAGTATAAAGTAGCAACACAATATATAAGTATGCATATCTTTAAGAGTTCATGTGGTGATCTAAAATTGCAGCATTAAGGATAGAGGAAATGGAAGGTTAATGAAAGAGCAACAAATGGAAAATACTTAAGTATTGATGGGAAGATAACAAGTATGATTACTTAAAAAAAAAAAAAAAAAAAAAAGACTGGTGTTATCCTACCTCTCCATCCCTCCATTTTTACGCCCTAGCTATTTTCCCTTCAATGTATCTTACTGCTTCTGTTGCATTTATCAGTAATCCCTATACTCCACACAGATCTGTTTCAAGTATATTTTAGGCATTATTTCACTCCTCTGACAACGTGGTTGTTAAAATTATTATTTTTTAAAAAAGAAAAGCCAAGATTCAGATGTAAAGCCATGCATTAACACTGGGAATGACTGACTGTGTGTGACAATGGCCAAAAAGGCAACTGTATCAGGAATATGTTTCAAAAGTATTCCTGAGTTGAAAACATCATCATACACATGCTGATGCTGCAGACTGTGTCCACACTTCACATTACATGTTGATAAGTAGTCCCACTGGTTTAAATAAGATTGCACAATGTCTAAAATTGTACCTTCTGAGAAGTAGCTGTATTTAACTTGTGTGTATATGCCTTTACACAATGATGATTTAAATCTATGCACGATTTGCCCACTAGCATCACTAGAAAAATCCTAATGAGCAAATCAACACTATGTACCAGAAACATGGACAACAATAAAACATTTTACATCTTAATTTCAAGGTATTGTTACTCCTATAAAATAAAGAGACCATTTTAAGTATCAGTAGCGATATTACCTGCTATGAAGTAAATCAAGACACTTGCCTTAAATAGCTTCTGCACTGCTTTGTAGTTTGAATGACAATATACCTTGCCCTGCCTCTAATTATTTCCTTATGATTCTCCAGAAATAGAAGTTACAATCAAACAATAAAAAGTGATAGTTCCTTGCTACAAGAAGCAATACCTTGAAACAGCACATTGGAATGAGTTTTGTGTGTGTATACACACCCCCAGCTCCCATAGGTTTTCCTCTGTATTGTCTCCTTTTTCCAAAGCTGAAGAAAAGCATGGTGAGGAAGCAGCCACCTCACACAACAGAAACAGAGCACATTCTGTGTTAAAAGGCAGAAATTTCATCTTAACAGAGGTGAAAACTAGCTGAGATGAAGTTACCATGGTTAGTTAAGCCTGTTGTTTTGTTGTAATAACACAGTGAAAAGATTAAAAGTGCAATTTTTAACTGAACAGTTTCTTTGTAGTGACTCTGAATGATCTATTCAGATAACTCTGAATGCTGTAATGCAACGAGGCACTGCATTTCTACCAGTATGATCATCTTTAACCATGGTAATGATATACTATAACTCAGCTTCCCCCCACCCCTCTAAAAAAAAAAAAACAAAAAACCCAAAAAAAACAAAAACCCCCCCCCAAAAAAAAAAAAAAAAAAAATTGACCAACCAAAACCCAAAATCATCCTTCTAAAATACTCAAAGACTATGCACAGATAACTTGGTATGAACTGCTCCGAGCCCTGACAGCAGCACAAGTGCCTGTAAAGAAGAATCTATCACTAAACAGAATAATGAGGCCTATAGCAAGGCAGTAAGGAGTATGCTTGAACTTCAGATGATCCCAAAGGAACATGAAAAAAGAAAACCAAAGCAAAGAAAAGGAAATCAAGGACTTTCACTTTTAACAACAGATTTGCTCATTCTGTCTTGATTTTCCATAGTTTCCCTGTCTTCTCTCTGGCAGTGGAACACAGCTGGCTTTATGTTTTTCATTTTTATTTTTTTTTTTTTTTAAAAAAGGCTGCACAAATATTTACCACAGTGGGAAAGCCAATTAGGGGAATTAATTTTAGAAATTATACTCATGATAGATTATAAAACACAATACAAATTAAATAATACTAAACCTTATGTTAAACTGTTAAAATACACACTTTCATTATCAATGAGGGAGTACATATGTTTAAAAAACAAGAATATGAAAACACCTGCATATGCTGACATTTCCTAAAAAAATATATAGGAAATTAACAAAGCAAAATACAGGCTACACAAACAGCAGTGTTGCTTAAAACTGCATTATATACTACAACATCTCTGAACCAGTGCAAACTCCTCTTAACCCTATGCTCTCCTCCCGGGCGCTTTGCTTTTAAATCTTTTCCCAATTTCACCTGTTAGTAGGTAGCAGCAGTTAGGATGGCCCATAAAGGAGTTCTGATTCATTCATTATCTCTGCTTAATAAAGGCAAAAATCAGTCCATCTTTCTCAAATATTGACCAAGACAGAAAATTAACCAAATTTCTGAACGAGAGTGCAGACTGCTGCTACAGCCTGTAGCAGCTATGTTGTGCCAGAAAACAAAAGTCAGATTTTCTTTTTAATTGAGATATATTATTTTATGTGTCTTTGAGCATGGCCTCACAATACACCTCATTGAACTACATTATTTTAGCCATCAAAATGTTTCTTTTTACTCAGGTAGTTATAGTCTGCCTATCGGTAGCAGAGACTTGACACAGCATATGTTCAATCACCAATTCACAACTTACAGGGACAGTTGTGAACTTGCTGTAACTTGCACATCTTAAGAAAACTAAATACTGATGAAAAATTTATTGCTGGGGTCCACTTATTTATCAAATAATTGGCCAAATTATCTCAGTTCTGGCATGATTTTACTAGTAG